TGCACGGCCGCGTTCAGGATGACGGGGATCGGCTGCTGCATCAGCATCTGCGGGGAGAGAGGCACAGGAGCTGCTGGCTGTGCTGCCTGGCAGGAACAGCACTGCAGCAGCAGCACTGTCTCTAAATCCAGGGGCAAAATGAGTAACAGAAAATCAAATGTTAGCTTGTGTCAAATATTTATTCAGAGCCAGGAATGTTCCAGCTCCGTTGTGCTTGCTGTGTTCTGCAGGAGTGGCAGTGGGATACAGCAGCACTAACCAGACATGGAACCACCAAGCTTTTTTGTGCATGGGAGACTTTGGATTAATTTGTGATTGCCTTTTTCTAAATCATAGAAATTACTGATTCAATACTCAGCCAGATATTGACATCACTCATCTCTTGGGAAACACCACTCCCACATCCAAAACCAAGTTACCAATTTGCCAAGAGTTCATTCCCAAAAGATTTTGCCACAGACAATTTTGTTACTGCTCTGTGTGCTTGAAGGAAAAGCAAATGTTTGGTGAGTTTGGGGGCACCAGGGGCAGCAGGTACCTGCAGGTTGGAGTCCTGCACGAGCTGGAGCTGCTCCTTGATGACATGGAGCTCCTCTTGCTGTGTTTTGATGTCAGCCTGCAGGATGCGAGTCCTCTCCTCCAGCTGCTCTTTCAGCTGGTGCATCATCCCCAGCTGCGTGGGGAAATGGTACACTGGCTGCAGAGAACAGAGAAAAGGGACCACATGGTAGGACCAGCTCTGCTGCTCACATCCATTGCAATGCTGGATTCAGAAAAATGACTGCTTTTCAGCTTTTGCCATAAAAAATACGATGCTGACAAAAACTGGCAATCGCATATTTAACCAAAGTGCCACTGCAGTTCCAGACCAGCAGCACATCTGGCTTACAGTGCCTCCCTGCAGGGGTTGGTCTCTATAATTTCTGCATGGAGGAAGTGTCTATACATGGGACTCTCCTGTCCCCTCAGGGCTGGTTTGGGCCCAGCTGTGTTTTGGGGCAGACACTGCATCCAAACCCTTGCACACCTCCTGGCTGAGCATTCAGTTGTGCTGATAATGATATTTGGCAGATGCCAGGCCCAAGATGGGCTGCAATCCACCTGGGGATCCATCCTTCACACCTACAGTGGCCATTTTCATTCTCTGTTTTATACTCTGAACAATTACCTCACTGATATCAAAGCCCTGTAAGGACAGACCTTGTCATTGTGGTTTATGACTAGTTTTTCTTGGGGTTTTTGTTTTCTTTTCTTTACCTGGCCTAACTCAAACCTTCCATGACATCCCTTCTTCAGCATTGTATCAGCCTGTAGGTAGCTGCTAGAGATTTAGGGAGAAGCCTTCAGCAGCCCACAACACTTTCTACACGTGTAAACCTTCTCCTATGCTATTTCCTTGGGTGTCCCACCTGCTCTCTCTGCTCTCTGAAATAAGTGGTTGCCATAAGGTTGTTGCAGGCAAATCTCAGCAACAGAAAGGGCACAGACACCTTGTCCCCACTCTGGGATGAGCCAGCAAGGACGTGAGGGCAGTGAACCAAAGGCACCTGGGCTGCCCTGCTGACAGGACACAGCAGGGCACTGACCAAAAGCGAAGCACATACCATCACAGGGTGCTGGGAGGGCACTGCCAGCTGAGCCATGGGGTGCTGACAGAGGGGCTGAGGAGTGGCTATGGCCTGGAAATGAAAACTGCGCCTTACTGTAGGCCCATAGCACCTCTAGTGCAGAGCTAGTGCTTTAACAGCTCATACCAGGGATGAGCAAGTGCAGGGAATTGGCCAAGGATAAGTGTGAAAGGAGAATTTAGGTTCCTGCATGCCCCTGATAATTTCAAGTCCTTGGTGTCAGCACCCATTTTGGATAAAGGCCACCTCATGTGTATAAACCCCAAGAGAGGAGGGCTGGTGGTGTGAAAAGGCATTTAGCCTGGAGGAGCAAACCGAATGCTGAAAGAAGGCAGCAGAGGAGCCTCTGGTGTCTCTCCATGGCTGTGCCAGCCAGTGGCGCTCCCCAGGAACACCCAGAGTGTGGCACGCAGCCTCTCTGAGGGTGGGATCAGTGCTGGCTGTGCCCATTCCCCGCAGCCCCAGCGGGCTCAGCACTGACCTGGGCGCCGCCGGGCGCCGCCAGCCGCAGCGCCGCCTTGTCCCCCGGAGCCCCGGGCCGCGTGGGGGTGCTGGTGTCCGTGCGCCGCATGGACGATGTGGCTGCGGGAGAGACGCTCACTGAGACACAGCGCGGCCTGCCTGGCACCGGCTGAGCCCGAGATCCCCCTGTGCAGATGGGCACTGACCCAAACAGCGCCAAAGTGGGTCCTCAACCTGCCCCTCTGTGGTCCCTCTGGCTCCCCACCTGATGCTAACCCCCTACTCAGCGTGCCCTCCACGGTGTATCCAGATGAGATCCCTCTCCCCACAGCAAGAAAAGTCCCCTGAGTTTCCTCCCCATGGCCCCACACAGAGCACTGCAGTCATCTTGCAGCCTCGCCCAGGGCAAGGAGGGCACTGATGGGAGCTGGAATGAAGCTGCCAGCAAGGCAAGCATCCTTCTGTGCTCCTTCTGCAGGGATTTCACATGAGAGACCCCACAGTAAAATTATATTATTCCCAACATGAAACTTTGGTCAGTGAGCTTGGTTCAATCAAGCCAGCGAGTCCCCTCTCGTCCCCAGAAGCACAGCAAACAGCCGTGACCCTCAGCTAGTGACAAGCCCGGGGAAATGGCTCTCACACAGGGGGTGGGTTAGAGGGAGGAGGTGGCAGGGCAGGTGGCTGTGGCTCTGTTGCTGCTCTGTGACCTGCCACGACTCGCTGTGTCACTCCCAGCGCTGAGCATCCCCCTCCCACCGCCACCATCCCTCCCAGCCCAACCCCAGCATCTGGGAGGCTGCTCCTCCCTCCATCCCCCCGAGCTGGGCTGCCCCGGCACGTACAGGTGGAGTCGGACAGGGTGGTGTGCGAGGAGCGCCGGGAGCTGTGCGAGGACAGCGACACTCCCTCCCGGCTGGCGTCCTGGCTGCTGCCGCACTGCCCCACCTCCAGGTAGCTGCTGTGGCTCTGCGGGAGCGAAGCACAACGGTGAGACCCTCAGCAGCAGGGAACGGCCCTGGAAGGGACCTCTGCCTCCTGGAGCCCTTGTCTGCAGACAAACCCAGCACCTGGGCGTGCACATCAGCAAACCCTGCTCCCCTGCCCCGCTGCGCTCACCCCAAAGCCTGCGGGCACTAAGGAACCTCTCTCCGGCCCTGGGCACCCACCCGATGGCAGCCAGCAGCACTGGAGGATTGCTCCTCATTGTCATTGCTGCCCATGGCCCGAACTCTGCTGTGCCAGCTCCTTCTCTCCTGCCCACAGAGCTGTGGGCAACGCGAAATTGCTATTGTCAGCCTCTTTCTGACTGATCTCTTCAGGGATGTCACAGCTGGCTGGCTGTGGTGCACTGGGGGTGGTGGCAGGAGGTGCTACCTGGGGAATAGTTTTATCGATGAAAGAGATGGAGAGAGACAACTGGAAAGGGACAGGGACCAGCTAGAGCCCCAAGGGGACCTACATCCAATGTCTCCTGAGGAGGACAGGCACTGGGCAGTGCTGAGAGCTGCAATCCCACTCACTGCTCCCTGGGCAGCAGTGGCTCCAGCAATCTGTTCTGGGCAGCAGAGGGGAACAGCCTGAGGCCCCATAAAATAATGTCTGAAAGGCAATGAGGCTGATGGAATGACAGCCACACAACAGCTCACTTGAAATGACTTTGATTGCTGGTCTTATTGGTAAACTACCAAGAGGAGAAACTTGAAAGTAGTTAAAATGACCCTGACTCAAGCCATGGAAATTATTGCTCATGGAAGTTATAGGTCACAATCGCTCGATGTGATCCAGCAACTGAACTGAAATCTAGGTAGGTGTTTTCCCTTGCCTTCCCATCTTCATCTGAGTATCAGTGATGAGCTGGCACAAGCAATACAGGTACCCTGTGGTACTGCCCTACCCTTGGATCCTCTGTGCCTTGCTAAGGGTGACAGGTACAGCAATCTGGCCTCCAGCTCCAGCTCTGCTTCTCTGCTTAGGTTTGTGTCCTGGTCTCAGAGAGATTACAGGGACCAGAACAGAGAATGCAACTGCTGAATTCACAGCTATTGTGGAATCAGAGAATGCTTGGTGTTACAGACCATCTAGTTCAAATCCCCCTACCATGTCACTAGATCAGGTGGTTCAAAGCTCATCTGGCCTGTCCTAAACCAACATGGACAATTTGGAGCCACACACCAGAAAGCTTCTTAGGGCCTGCCTAAATCATGACCCAGTTCAAGGCTTGGAATGAGATGGGAGCAAAGAAAATGGAGAGGAACAGATATTTCCCTCAGACTGGTAAGCTATGACTCAGTTTGGTTTAAACATCTCCTCACTCAGCTGTGAAGGAACGTGGTACCTTTAGAGAAGAGGATGCCAGTTCAATTGATGACTCTTCGAGGCCAAGATCTCGTCTTCTCTCAGCCCGAACCTCTGCGTAACTAAAACAAAACCAAAAATAAAAAAACAAAAAAACCAAAAAACAAACCCCAAACAAACCCCCCAAAAAACGACAACAAATTATTTTACAGCTTCTGTGCATGTACCCTACCACAACAAGTGTACATTCATTTTCTAACCTGATGATGATGAACAAGCATCCTTTTTTTTGTATGGTAGTTCAGTGATCCCTATGACAGTGCCTTGGGCAGGTCCCTCCTTCTGAGGGTGCACAGAACTGTGCATGCATCAGAGTTAACATCCTGCACTCCAGGGGAAGCTCCAAATACAAACAGGCAGCTACACAAGTGCAATGTGAAGTGCAGGAACCCCTACAAGGTGCCTCAGGTGCCTCTGGAACTGTATATTTTCTTTCCTTACTTTTTTCCCTCTGAAATAATGAAATATTTACAGTAACAAATGCCCCATGATTCACCACTGGGATAAATTGGAGAGGATGTTTCAAAGACTCTCTGAGTGCTCATGCATCGTGGGCACTGAGAGGTGCCAGACTTTAGGGTGATGAAATATTAATGAGCTGCAACCTTTGTGGGAGGCAAGAGAAGCTGCTGAACCGACCTCACTTATATCATTGTGGTAATGAATTTTCCTGAAAGAACATTTTAACTTGTGTGCTTCAGCAACATATTTTAAGCCTTAACTATCTGAGACAGAATTGAACTTCAAAACCTATTTAGGACTACATCATTAGGTTTAAGAGGCACTGGAAGCAGAAAGAAGAAACAAGTTCATGCACAATAAATTCAGCCCTTAAAGTGAAGCTGAATCCCCTGAAGGATGGCAGAAGTAAGACTACTGAGAAGTAATCTCTCTGTGTAACATTTGCTTATGTTAGCACTTCATATGTAGTTTATACTGCAGATCACAGAATCAGAATCAATAGAATTTGGGTTGAAAGGGGCCTAAAAGATTATCTGGTTCCAAGCCCTCAACTGTGGGCACCTCCCACTAGCCCAGGCTGTTCAGGGCCCCAGCCAACCTGGTCTTGAATGCTTCCAGGGATGGGGCAGCCACAGCTTCTCTGGGCTTCCAGTGCCTCACCATTCCCACAGGGAAGGATTTCTACCTAAGATCTGATCTAAACCTATCTCTGAGAGTTTGAAGCCATTCCCCCTTGTCTACAATTCCATAATTCCTTCTCCAGCTCTCTTGGAGCTCCCTTAGGCACTGGAAGAGGCTCTAAGGTTTATCTGGAGCCTTTTCCTCTCCAGGCTGAACAACCCCAGCTCTCTCTTCCTGTCCTAACAGGAGAGGTGCTCCAGCCCTCTGAGCATCTTCATGGCCTCCTCTGGCTCACTGCAACACACCCATATATTTCACATTTACTACTGTTTGCTTTTCCAGATGTTTGACAGGAAAAGAGGGGGACTAGAAAAAAAGTTGATTCTTGACACTACAAAAATACAGCAAGCAATAAGTTTATTCAAGTTAATAGAGCAAACCAGTGTGTCACTACTTTTTAAAGCCCTTCAGAAAATATATTCTTACTCTTCACACAGTCTTTTTTGAGATGGTGGTGGTAATCCAGCAGATTCCCCTCCAGAAGGTGCATTCACAGAGCATCCTACACATGTGCTGCCTTCCAGCACGGGCTGGAGCTCAGCACCAGCAGCTTCCCACTAGGGGGGGATCCAGGGCTGGATTTGGGTGAGGAATAAGGCCAGCAAGCCACCAGCTAACTTCAAGTCATAAATATTTAAAGCTCTGATCAAAAGGTTTTGCAGGAGTTATATGATCTCATTCATGCCCAGAAAGATATGTCTGATTCCCAACAGCTTTAATTCTTTCTATGGCCATGTCATCACTAGGGACAAAAGGGGAATGGAGCACACCAACAGATTTGGCCAAAGCTGGTTTCCAGGCTTTTGCCTCAGTTGCTGAAAAAAAAGTAAAAAAAAAAGTAAAAAAAAAAAAGTAAATAGAACACAATTTCACATCATGGTGCTTACCTAACTACCAGATGCGTGCAAACAATGAACTCAGGCTTGGAGTTCCACTGGTGGTAGGTGATGTAGTAGTGAGTCTGCAGCCATATCCACTGCTGCCCTTTGGTCAGGAACCTATAGTAACAGGATTTGCCTTTTCCAAACTGCATCACTGTTGAACAGAAAGAGAAAATTTATAGCAAACAGGGATTTTATGGTGCAAAGGTCCCACACCCCTCTTCCAGACTGGGGCAGTGCTAAAATGGTTCTCGAGCTTTATAAGCAAGACAGATGATACATAACCAGATACTCAGCTTTTGTCTGGGGTCATTCCTGCTGACTTTCAGGAGTGCCCTTTGCTATTTTGAGATTTCTCTTATAACTGGTATAACTATGTAACTAACTACATTCTTATAACTTATGAGTTCCCTGAAATAAGCATGAATAACATTAATTAAACAAATTATTTGCCTTTCATAAGTACATGAGAATGCATTTCAAAGAATGGAGATGTGAAGTAAGAATCCTAATAATGGCACAAAACATGATAGTGGATTTTAGTTGAGAGTTTTCTTCTAAGACCTGGCCTACTCCAACCTGGTATGTATTATCAGGCTATGTCCAGAAAAATCTCAGGTGCTGTAATACAACTGGAAAACAGTGAGGGGAGCTACATTAAATAACCACACTAATTGTTCCAGACTGCTGGGAGTACAAACTGAAACATGCTCACTTAAGTACCCACAATTAATGCAAAGTAAAATACAAACATGGTTTAAACAAACGCATTTCACTCGACAGTAGGCAAGATGTCTGCCCAAATTGTCAATGTGACAAACAGGAACCTAGCAAGCCAAATTAACCCAAGTGGTTTTTTACTCACCTGCACACATCTATTTTGTTAAAATATAAGGACTGATTTCTTTATCGAGCCCATTAACAGTGATGGGCTTTAGATGAAGCACTTAGCAGAGATTTTCTGGCTAACATGACATGCTGGGGATTGACCAAACATGAGCCATCTTCACCCACAGGGAAACTGTGTTCGTTTTGCTTTTATGTAAAATAATTCTGAACCTCCAGAAGCATTTTGCTAATGAGTAAGCGAGGTTCACAGCACCTAATTGCACAGGGAGGTGATCCAAATGATGCTCTCAAAAGGTGTTTTGGTGAGCTGAGCCTCCTGGTTAACTCCAGAGCCCAGGGGGATGGCAAGACCATGAACTGTGACAAATCAACAAAACTCACAGGGCAGAGGGGGGATAGCTCTGACTCCCAACTTCTAATCTCATTTCACTCTGAGACAGCCTGTGCTCAAACAAGGTATCTGCCAGTTCAGGAAACCTGCACTAACAGCTCCTGATCTGAGGGAATTCTGCAGATTCCAACCTCCCGGGTAAGTGTCAGCTGTGACAGCATGACATGGACAGGGAGAGTTCCCACATGTTCCTGAAGAAGAAGCCTTTTGCAATGACAGGAAAAGGTTTTGCACAAGTGACAAAGGAGATCAGAGACACGTTACAGAGGCAGGGCAACTTACAGTGTTCATGGCACCTAGCAAGAAGCTCCAGGTCATCTGCGTGGTAGTAATCATACCCTGACGTTCCCAGAACCTCAAAGGGCAAATATCCTATAATAGGTGGAGCCCTAGAAAGGAAGCAAAGGGCAGGGAGTGAGCACAAAACTTGACTCTGACATCCAGCAGATAAGCTGTGATGCAGCAACAAACACCATCATTCACTTGGCAGGGAAATCTGGAGTGGGTTTTCATCTAGGCAGTGATGCATTTTCATATACAAACCAAAAACTGACAGCAAGGGAGAGGTACAAATTGAGAAAATGAAAAGGTGTGTGTTTACTGTTCCACAGCCTATTCATTATGTGGGTGTAGAGAAAGGCATGTACATATGTGAGTGACTCAATTCATTAAGGATGCTTGTGAGACACAGCTTGAGAAATGCTATGGCTGATCCTGCACACGACAACTTGGAGCCCGAGTAAAATTATCCAGTAGGTTGGATGTAAGTGTCATCTGGGTAGTAACTGGAGAAGAGAGAATAAGTGGGAAGCTGCAGCTTGGGAAAAAGTAATTGCTCCCCTGGAAAAGCTTGGGAAACTACAGCCACCAAAACTTTCTGTGCTGGTAGTGCAGATAGCCATGGGCATGGGGCTGATTTAAGGCTGTTTGTGCTTTGGTTGAATTGATGAAGCATCTAGACAGGCACATTGCAATGACTTACCTCACTAATCTGCTATCAATTCTAGATTTTCCTTTTTCTAGGCAAAACATAAGATTTTTTTTTTTAAAGCAGGCATCCTAACACAGCCTGACAGCTTATGATTATGAAACAACACCGAAATGTGGGGAGAAAACCACTGGTTTTGTCTCTGCTCCCTGTACCAGCCTGTCACTCTCCATCTCCCAGAGCTCAGGTCCTACCCTGCCTGCACCAACTCAAGCACTCAGTGGGGCAGGACCTGTGCTGATGTGGCTGCAGGATGTGCTGGCAGTGTTCACCTGCCAAGTTCAGTTTGGGCAAAATAGTAAATAACTCAAAATGGGGCAGGCTGGAGGTGATGGTGCCTATCAAACCTGCCTCTCCTGCTGCCCCTGTCCTGCTCAGCTGTGCTCTTAAGGAAGAAGGCCATGAAGTGGCCAAGACTACAAGGAAAAAGCTATTTCAGTGTATTACACATGTGTTTGGATGTATCAGTCCTGAGTTTCTTGGTTATTACTGTGTGAAATTCCCTCTTGGCTGTGCCACATTTCTCCCCTTGAGAGGAACAGTGGGCATTGGTTACTCAGCCACAGAGAGCCCAGGCAGGTCTGTAAGCTCTCTCCTCCCCACAGCTGTGGCACCAAGGAATGCGGGAGAAGGACAATGTCCCTGGCAGCAGTGCCAGGAGGAGCAAGGTGCGAGCAGGAGCTCCTGATCCCAGCACAAGGGACTGGCTGGGAGAGCCAGGCCTCCCCTTGACAGCAAATCCCCTGAACAGAATGTGCTGAGCACACATGTGGTCTCTGTCACAATACAGCTTCATTTATTTAAGTAACTTTTCACAGCACTCCGTTCCTTTTCTTCATGTGACCCAGATTTCTGTTAATGATGATAATATGTGTATTTATTAAAGTGTCCTTGCTGTCTCTTTGGCAGAATTCATCACTGTTTCTCCTACTGCTTATATTCAAGACAATAGTGTCTTTCAGATGCATATCAGATAAACATTTAAGCTGATCAGGAAATTATTATGCTTTCCTGAATATCACCAGAGCTCTTCATAAAAGAAAGAAACCACAAAATGCTCCTCATCTGTCATTTAACAAGGAGATGCCTTGTGGAGCAATTTAAAATGTCTTGTTAGCTCAAGTTCCAGTCCTGAGATCTGCAGCTTGCTGTGCAATGGGAATGCACAGTCTTTAGAGAGTCTTTTGGGCGCAGTCTTTTAATAAATGAAGGGAAAATAAGAACAGTACCACAGTGCAGAAGAGAAACAAATCATTATCAAAGTTGATGGGTTTCTCTTCCTCTACACATATTTACATAGAGACCCAGAATACAGATTTTTCCTATCTTTCTCGTGTTTATCTACATCTATGGAATGTTTTTATTGTATTTATCTTTGATTTGAATTGTGATCATGACAGCAAAGGTCCTGATTCCAGCTGCTGCTGGGTACCCTCTGCCCTGCTGATGGCACACCTCAGTGCCAGGCAGGCTGTGCTGATGCAAATCAGCAAGAAACAGCAACATTTCAGTGTCCTGCAGACTGTACTGGAGGGAGCTTGGAATCAGTGATTAAATGAGACAACTCCCACAATCTCCTCTCATTCTGGGTCTGAGCTCACTGCTTGCATCTGGATCTGCCACAAACTCTGCCTCAGCATCTCATCATCCCAATTTCCTCTCAGTAGCAATGGCCTCCTCTCTGGGGATATCAGAGGGACTGAAGTGTCTGCAAGCACCCAGCACAGAGATTCCTCTCTGAGTCATAACCCACATTCATCAAAAGGCTCTTTGACAAGTTTCAAAGCAGCTCCTACTCAGCTCTTTCACAGGAGCTGCTGGGACACAGCCCTGAGGAGAAGCAGCTCACTTCATCAGTGACGTGAGGGGCTCGAGGCTCTTTAACAAATCTCAACATCAATCAGCTGATTCTAAAAATGTGCATTATCAGACAGGCCAATAAAGTCTAACAAAGCCACTCCAGCAAGATCTCCTCTGAATTAATAATTATCTGGCTGTCCCAAACCACACATAATCAATGTAGGGGTGTCACAGGGTCAGTTCCTCCATGCATCAAGGTATGATGTGAGGCACACACCTTCTGTTCTATAGAAATTAAAGTTATTACTCATTTTTATTTGCTCTCTCTTTCTTGCTCTAAATGGCGATGATATTTAGATTTTTTTCCTCACCAATATTTTTTCCCTTACAGCCTTATTTACTAGTCTTCTGTTTTTACTCTGCACAGCTCACAAGGGGAGGGATAATGAAGAGGGTAGGATTTTGCAACATACTTATGCACATATGTCAAATACAGAGAAGTGAGAGAGTGAATAAAACCCACCAGCTTCTTTTGAAGAAAATTAATCCTAAATTAAGCAGCTTAATAAACTGGTTCCAGTCTGCTTCATTCATGAAGCTGAATTCTAGCCCATCATATTGTATTGTCAAAAACTAATCTACAATTAAAAACCAAAATTCACTGTTTTTTATTTTGGTTTTAGAAATTCTATCCTTTCTCAAGCTGAAAAATCAAAAGTTTATTGACACAGCAAAAGATTTAGAAGGATTCCTGGAAGCTGTAATTGTAGAATAGAGGAGCTAAACCAATATGGGGAACGTATTGCTACCCACACTGCTCACTTTCAATGACTTATTATCTTGGTTAGGAGATAAACATTCTTCTAGACAGATAAACATTCTTCTAGACATTTTCCATGGTTTCTTACTTGCCTAAAATATGGAAAATAGTGAAGCATTTAAGGATGCCTAATAGCTAAGTTCAGAGTACTGCTATTCACTAAGTTGCATGTAATTAGAACTATTCCATTTGGGATCTCAGGCAATAGGTATACAAATTTTTCTATTTTTAAGCTACAGTTTATTTATTCTTCAGTGACTAAACCCAAATCTCTTACCTGTGGTCCAAGAATAAAAACTTCCATTCTAAACTATGCCTCGATGTAAATTCTTCACACGGCTCTTCAACGTTGCAGAGCTCCTGCAAAAGAGTGGGTACATTCAGAAATTTAATTCTGTGAAATGACAAAAGCAGCCTGCGATCAAAACCTAGCATGCATCTTGCTGATATAATGAACCATAGCAAAATACAGTGCTTTTAAAGCACTTGACTTATTTTCCTCTAAGGAATGTGTAAGTCTTGTGTCATAGGTGCATGAACTGATGAAAAATAGATGGATAGTTTACCTTGAGCTGAATTTCAGAGCCAGGATAAATAGAGTCTCATCTTGCACTCTAGGCAAAATTCCCCATCTTTTTGCAAATACTGATATTTGAATATGGATGGCAGCTCCAGGCCCAGGCTCTAACTGAGCTGGTAATGCCCTCTTGAGCAAGCAGCACTAGGGTTGTTATCCCTGCCATCAGTGCCACGGGACACTCACAGACCAGCAGCAAGAGGCCATGACACACATTTTCAATGTTCCAAGATGCAGATCCTCACACAAAGGAGTGGTGGATGCTCATCTTTGAAGGCTGCACATTCCCAAGTGGTGCAGCTGGTCACCTTGTTCTGGAGCTTCCCTCCGAGACACCCACCACAAACCCACCTCTTCTCAAGAGCAGCTCCTGTTTCATCCCTTATCTTACCAAAATACAGACTTATGTCATCTCCCACTCCCAGCTGCTGTGTTGTGATTTCAGGGTTTACTCCAGAACCCCGGATCCCCCCCTGATAATTCCCTGCTAGGTGTGTCAGTCACCTTTCCCTCCTCATCCCTTGCCCTCTCCCAGCACTGTCTGTCAGCCCTGGCATTCCAGAAGAGCATCGAGGGATTGGCAGATCCAAAGGATGCCCCCTACCCCTGGGGGGCATTGGGCCATCCTGGTGTCCTTTGTCCCTTGAGACCTCCTCTCCTGTCCCTGGTTGGTGGCTCCCTACCCCTTCCCTGCCCCTCTCCCCACGGTTCAAAGGAACAGCAACCATAGGGTGAGAGAGTTCTGTTGGAGCTGGTGCTGCATTCAGAGGCCTGTGGGCCAGAATAAAGCTCTGGATCCCAACCCTCCATCAGAACTGACTCCTTTCCTTCACCATCACCTTAAAGCTTCTCCAGCAGAGGGAAACCTGAGGAGCAGCCCCTGTTATGGGGAGAAGCTCCATCCCAGCACCACCAGAGCTCCTGCAGGCCTGGACTTGTCTCCAAGCACCCAGCTGCAGCATCCAGCCAGCTAAAGGTGTCTATGGGGTGAAACACCACACACCCAGCCAGCCCAAAGTGTCTGTGAGTGAAACACCACAGTGTCGTTGTTTGGTTCAGCAGCAAGGGCCAGACAAGCTCAGGCACGTCCTGTCCAGTAATATTGGTAATATTCCAATACCCAGCCGCAGCCAGGTCCCCTCCTCTCCTCCACCACCCCCATGCTGCTGCCCCTGGTGCTGTGGGTGCTCAGGGCTCACCTTGAGGAACTGTGGTGTGACCAGGCGCACGGTGGCCACCAGGCAGATCTGCTCCTCCGGGGCTGACCTGAAAGCCCGTGCAATAGCTGACTCAAAGCCATTACAGGAGGGTGTAGGCACTAGGAGCAACCAGACAGTTTATTTAAGAAGAAGAGGAAGGAGAGGTTTCTCCCCGTGTTAAGACAAGTACAGTGAGTGGAGAAACCCAGCAACCACAAGGTCCATGCTGATCCATGCCGGTGTTATTTAAAGCACGACCCTGTAGGCTCCAAGGTACACAGCTGTAACCCCCACCCAGGGCAGCTTTGTAAGCTCAGAGCAGCTCACAGTGTGCAGCTGCAGTCTCCTTGTCAGTCTTTCTCCAGGCCAACATTTCCAAGATTCGGGATTTTACAGGAACCTCAAAGTATTTAATCTCTGTAAAGTGTCATTTCACTGCCACAAGTGAAACAGAATACATATTTTACTGGCTATTTGAATAAGGAGGCTGCTTTACAATTGGCAGTGGGTCCAACAGAGGCATTTTCAGTCTGGTATCAGCTTTAGGCACAACATGCAGGAGAGTGCACTCTTCTGATCAACAGACTCCCCACCACATTTGTATGAAAAATATATCCAATGTATGCACAGCCCATTCCATCCCTGACAATTATGGGGCAATTTCAGCAGAAACAGAGCCTTTAAGATGCTACAGGTCAAGACAAATTAAAGGAGAGAGTTGGAGAGACAAAGGTAGGCTGGAACAGTAACTTACCATGAGTAAAATATTTAAAATCCACTACAAATTTCACATATTCATACATCAGAGGTTCATTTGGATCTAAGCTGCCTCTTGCTAAATGGCAAAAAAACTCTATTTGTTTTTCTGCTGAAATGAGAGAAAGAGAGGGAGACACAGACAATGCTATTAGAAGTCTGCACTTTAGCTCACTCACATATTTAATTTATCTACCAAGTGCTATCTGAGCACACCCTGCTAGGAAGATTCTGATACTCAGAAGTAAACATATAACTACTAGGAGCAATTATCATCTGTTTCTGCTTAAGGAAATGTATTCTCACCCTTTTTTCCTGTCTTTGCAGTCACCCCAGTGAGCTGAGCAGGAAGCCCTGGTTGCACTGGCCAGCAGGATTTTCCCCTGACTCCATGGATTGATGCAGGATTTCATGCAGGGCAGGTACAGGGTATTGTAGCACTGTGCTCTGGCACTGCTCAGTGGAACCAAAGGGCACTGAACTCACCCTGAGCCCTTCCATTAACACCGGAGGGCACTGGGCCAAGCTCTAATCCAGTTTTCTGCCCCAAGTCTGAACTCTATGGATTAGACCATATGGCCTTCGGCCTGAGGGAAACCACCCCCAGGCAGAGCATCATCAGGCTG